TTAGGAAAAGGGAAATATACTAAAAGATATACAGTTCCTAGGAGGGAGGCCCTGTGTGCTGAACAGAACCTCACAAAGAGCATCTCTGGGTACTAATTACAGAACTGCCAAGCCTCCCTTCTTTTAGAATAAAATATAATCAATTTGGATGTATCTCACTCCTAAATTAAACACAGGTTAATATGTTTAAATCGGCTTCCGATGTATCTCACTCTTTTTGATCATAAATGTTACTCCTAACATTTTCCGCAGCTCTTTGAATAGTTCATTTGCTAGAAGAGCTCAATGTGCTCAACAGTGCATTAAAGAATGAAGCTCCTACAGGCTGACTAAAGATTACATTATGCTTTTTAAGAAAATCTTTATGGAATATCTTCCATTAGAAAATGGAAATTATATAGGTTAAAGTTAATGACTTTTTTATATAAATTAAAATGTTATTCCAGTGCTCTGAATTAATTGATGCAATTCATTGGTTTGTTTGTGAAGTCACTGTCCATTTCCTTGTCTTCTTTGTCTCTCCCTATCCATTACCTGATGCAAGGATTTGAGGATGTTGTCCATTACTTCTATGATAAAGCGTGGTACAGTACAGTCAAATAATATCGCACTGCTGCCTGCATGTTGCATGTGTGAAAAAATCCTGCATGTATTGCTAAGTTTACACAGCTGAATTATCTCAATGTATGATAAAGCTTTGAACAAATGGTATGTGCTTTTCATGTGCAAAATACAAGCATGCAAATATACCTATAAATATGAAAACAAAGTAGCCAAGTCTAAGATTTCTTGTGAACCCAATCACACTGCAAGCTCCATTGCATGAAGCAATATATTTTGGTCTACAGCAACCCCTGCTATTTGATTGATCTATTAAAATAATGATAGGAATTAACAGGTTAGATGGTGGATGACTCTTCGGTCTGGTGAGAGGGATTCATTACTAGGGGCAGAACTTTAAAATTAGAACTAAGACAGTTAGAACTTAGGTTAGCTAACATTTGTTCAGACAGAGGGTTATGAAGATGTGGAATGTTTTGCCCCAGAAAGCTGTAAAGGAGGAATCAATAGAGCTATTTAGAAGAGAGATAAGTAGCAGAGACATTAAGGGCTATATGTTGAAAGGACAAGGCAATGGGATTAAAAGATCTGCCAAGAACAAATAAATTGGTGGAACAGGCTTGAAGGGCTTAATGGCCGCCTGCTATTTTCCTATGTTCCTACGCTACTTATGGTTTGTTCAGGTAATTAATCTACTAACATTTTCCCCTCACAGTTGATATCTGAAACACCTATTCAATTGAGTCACTTCCCTCATTCACTGATCTGTGTTCATTATCTTGTATAGTATATATGGACAGTGAGTTTAGATATAACAGAGTATTGAAAATTCCTACCTGACTTATTCATGCATTCTTGTGCTTACTGAGCAATTATACATCACTAGGAGGAGCACAGAGGATAATTTCAAGTCATAGTTAAGATTTGGGATTGGGATACATCAGAATAATGAGGACAATTCCAGTAGATTTGGAGCATTCCATGAGTTTATGATCTTTGAAAATGTGGCGTTTTTCAGGAATCTGCTGGTGACACAAAAATGTCATAAGTGCATCAAAATCATTTCTATTTTACAAGATTGATTTCATAAAATTAACAAAGATAAATATGTTTTCAAGAAACACTGCTCAAACGTCAAATACAAAATACTAGTGACCAGAAAATCATAGTTTTTAGCTTATATCCATGACCTTTCAAATTATATCCTCCAAAGAAGGAAACATTTGGAAGAAATTATTTTGGCATCAGTGGTGCTTCTTATGAGAAGCCACATATTGAGCGCCCAGGAAGTGACATTATGGTGCAGCAAATGATGTCACTATTGATCTGATAGACCCATTTGTCACTGATAAAAAAAGTTTTGATTTTTAAAACATCGATAATGTTATCCAACAAAAAAAAGGTCAATTTTCACCAGCCTAAATACAAACTAAAGAAACTAAGAAACCTTAGTTTCTCTAGAAGCAATGCAGATCAATATAAAACCTACAAAATTTAATTTGAAAGCACGATACACTTGAAATGGATACACAAGTGGTGAAACAATTGTACATTTATTATTGCCCTCCAGTATATACATGGGATGTAAATGATATACTTTCAGGTAGAATACACTTAGAAGATTTTTAGAAAATAAATTACAGAAATATTTGTTCATTAAAACAGGGTTTTGAATGTTAAATTTATTTTTTCTTGAAACATTAATTTGAAAGCACAATACACTTGAAACATAAATTCTTCATTAATTTCTCAGTGCATGGAGCCTTTGTCCGTCCAACAGTTGAACTCAACTGCCTGTTAATTTACAGAGATGGGTTCAGGATAGATGGAATGCAGCTATCTCTTGGTGTAATTTCAGTATGTAAATGTTAATTTACGTTTGTATCCTCTGTGATCCAACCTCTGTGTGATGTGTTAAAATTGTGCATTGGCACAAAGCCTACCAAAAAAACTACCATAACAAACTTTCAGCTAATTAAACATATTAATCTATTATTATTAACCTGCAGTTATTATTTCTAACTTTCTAATGGTTTTAAATGAATAGAATTGTGCATATCATTTGCAGAATTTCTAGGTTGTTACTGTACCCAATAACAGTTACATGTGTTTATAAGTATTCCAAATTACAAGTATGAAATTCATCTCCATGAAAATCATTCATTTCCATTGAAAAGAATCTTTAAAATCAGCCAAGTTCCCATTCATTCCCAATGATGCCAATTGTATCCATCCATGTCAGGTGATGATTAGGCTGGAGTCTGCAGTCGTTCTCTCATGGCCAAATAGCTTACCAACATTAACTATCACATAAGGAATGGCCACGTAGGACTTACAGAGGTCCCAGTAATGTAACTCACTAAAGCACCCAAGTGCAGGAGCCAGACTCCAAGTACTGTGTTTAAGCAAAACTTCCTCCCTATACGTACTGTATTCCTTTATTAAAAAAATCCTCCCTAAAATTTTTTTGGAAGAATTATTCGTTGTAGATTTTCACCTTTTAAACAGTCATTTCTACAGATGTAGGGAGATTGCCTATGTGACTGAAGGGATTAATGTACACAGTTACAATTACATAGTTACCAAAGTGCTGTAAATTAAAAAAAATGAAATGAAGATTTTAAAGTTAATGATGCTGTTTTTTTAAAAAGCATACTTAAATCTAAATATCTAAATCATCCAATATAATATAAATATGTGATCTTAAATCATCCTGATCGTTGGAATTGTTGATTCTAAAAGATATACTGTATGGGTCAACTTTGCATATTATCACACTAAAAAAAGGATTTTTTTTTAAAAAAAACTTCTAAGTTTGGGTTGTTTTAAATCACACTATGGGACCTCCTTTGATGGCATGCTGCCCATATGCACAACTAAATGAACTGAAATATCCATTGATTGACACCCAACATTGTTTAATTTTATAATTATAAAAAGCCTGATTTTTAAAAAATGCACTGCAGTTAAAAAAAAGTGATTTATACATTTGTCCATGCATTTATTTGATTACTAAAACCACCTCCTGCGGTGGTTTGGGGAGGAGTACTCTGAATTGAATTGATGTGTTTTAAACCTGATTTATTCTGCACTTTTAGCTTTCATTTGATGGGAAAACAGAAATGAATCTATACTTAACTGCAATGTGAATCGAGCAGCCTTGCTCTTGCAGTTTATGATGTCAGCTGAGCTATTCGATTGTTACCATGGTGTAGCTTTTACTGAATGTTAGAAGTGTTTGATGTGGTTAAAGCCTGTGAGATGAACATGGTTGAGTGCACTCTAACTTATACAGTAATGAATCTATAATGGATAATTGGTGAAAAGTCCGATATAAACAGCTTGTTTGGCAAACTGTCTCAAACAGTGTAACTGACCTTTTAGGATATGTTTGAATGAAAGGCTGTGTGGACCAGTTATACAAAATGAGGGTGGGCTAAAGGACTACCAGAACTGACCTTTAAATGTTTCATTCATCTTTACTCTCTGTTTAGGTATCAGAAGATATCTATGCCTATTATTGCTAAGATATTGCATATCTCACTGGATGGTATTTTAGTAGTTTGTATCACAGCATTTTAAATCACCGTTTAAGTTTATTTCTGCATAAATGTCATTGCCACAGATATTCAAATGTTAACTCGAGGATATAAATGTATTACTACCAAACCTGGCTAATCTATTTATGGTGGTCGATGGCCAGGCAATTTGTATGGAACATTCTTGCATGAGGCAAGCAGAGAAGTGGCAAAACCTTGTGTAACAAAAAGGTTGATTGCGTGGAAGAGTTTACTGAGGATACAGAGCAGAGAAATTAGAGAGAATAAAGCAGGATGAGTTTAGGTACAGGTTAAAGTCTCACAAGGTGCTCACTGCACAAGCTGGGTAAGGATAGGAGGGAGAACATTCCAGCAAAAAAAAGGGAAAAGGGAGCTTGGGGGGATAGCAGTTGATTGCCAAAGTTCACTTCTGAGCAATAAACTGGCAAACATTGTAACAGGAAATGAGGCATTTAACATAGTTGCTCTATTAAAGCCATACGGAAAAAGAAGGCAAAATTCCTCCAGGAAAGGAGAGAAATTCACAGGAAAAAATAATCCCAGACATGTTAACTTATGGTAGACATTACAGCTAGTCAGAAAATATGCATATTACCAGTTTTTTAAAAAATACTTCCACCATCCATCTTGTATGCTTCATCTTCAAAACAAGCGCAACAGTTTTAAATGTTCCTCTGTGATTTGCTTCAAAATGCTTTTGTTTCTCAATCAAATGATTATGCTACTTCCATCCAGTACCCATACCTTCCTTTAGATTGTATTCATGCATGGTCTTTAGAAACAAAATAAAGTAGGCTGCCTTGGTGATTGGGCAGATTTGGTCTTAGAAAACATTTCATGTATAATAGTGCTCTAACATGCTTTTTCTTTTTCCTACAGCCTCCAGTACTACAGCCTTCCAGCCACATACTCAGCTCCAGGGACATCCACGCGGAAAAAGTAGCAAAAACAGTGCATATCGAGGACCCCAGTAGGTGTACGGAGCAAGCTTCATACGAAAACTGCCAAACCAATCAAAATGCAAAAGTTACTGATTCCCCACAGATGGATTCAGACAAGCTTAGCTTCCTGTTAACCACACAGTTGAAGATTGAAGATTCTGATGACAAGCTTCCAAAGAGCAAAGTGCACAATACAGCCAGGCAAAGTCTAAATATTCTGCCTAACTTTTCATCTAAGGAACATGGTCCTAATCAGGCTTCTTTGCAACAGATCTGTATTGCTGGGCCTTTAGAATTCGCAGAAGAAACCATAAATAAAGACTATCAGCCCAAATTTTCCTTCAAACCATGTCAACCTTCTAAGGATTTAAATTTCACATCCCAGAACCGGTCTTCACGATTGCAGTCCCCTTCATCCTTAAAAGCTAGAAAGAATGCTGCTCCAGTCACTCAAACAGGTCCTTTACCTACAAAATGTCCAGTTCAACCAACCGGACATGCCCCAAAAGAAAAGGGACATCAATCTCAGCTAAAAATACCCTTAAACCTATCAAACCAAAACAATGAACAAAAGAGAACCTCTAAACTACCACCATCATTGTATTTATCACTTCTAAAGACTAAGACTGCAGAGTCCTCAATTGAGTCTGGATCACCAATCAGAGAGATTCAACATGCTGAGGCAACTGGTCACCAGAATGAGCCCCACTTTCAGTTTCTACCAATAAACAAGCCACAGAAACCCCAGTCATCCCGAAACGACCGCCCTGGAAAGCAGCGTGAATCCCAGATAGAGAAAATTGCAACTTCCATCAGATATTCTCGCCTTCCTAAACCAAAGATGCATGTGTCCAAACCCTCAAACTATAGCTTTTAGAGTTAGACAGACCCTATTACTAAAATATTCCATTGCAGGATACCCTGCATGGTAAAAGATTTTATCAGCCTAGACTTGGCAACTATTTGTTTTTACCTGGTCCACTTTTAACTCACCAAGGAACTGATTCTAAAGGACAGCTCCCGCAGACCTGACTGATGCAACGACTAGCTACTGTCTTGATATTTAGAACATTTGAAGTTTCTTGAAACGGTTTATTATTGCAATTTATGGCATTTTGGTTTGGACGAAAGTTTTGCTCAAAATACGGGAAAAAAATTGCCAGGGTGGAGCAGAACAAGACAAGAAAAGATTAGCAGATGGCAGTTTATAAATCTGTAATGACCTGGATGTAAATCAGTCAGTAGTAAAAGATTATTCGTATCATGACTAGTGGGATTTCTAGCAAATTCCCAAAGTAACTATGGTACGGTTTGTTGCACTAACTTTAAAATACTGAATACAAATGTCTTATATTTCAATTAAACTGCATTAAACTGCACTGTAGAAGGAGGAACATTTTCAGTTGAATAGAAAGAGCCTGAACAGAACAGACAGCTGGTTACCTTGCTTTAAATGTAGGTAATCTAGTGATTACATTGTTTACTTTGAACGAAAATCTAAAAAATAAATTGAAGCTAATTTTTTTGGATAGTATGATTTCTACAATACTGCAAGTTGTGCATTAGAATGTCTGTTATACTGACTATTATTTGAAAGAAATGAAGATGAAGTCTGATGCAGTTTAAAAATGGAAAAGGGTTCCCTTAAGTTAGGTTAATTCTCTCTCTCTCCACTAGTAATGTTGTTTGCCAGAATCTTAGTGAGCACAATTTGAAAGAATAGTCCAGTTCTTCGTCATACAACTGCCTCTAGGCAAAACCTGGAATGAATTGATTCTTTGTCTATTTGATGGACTATGAATCCTGGGTTTGAGTAAATCGATGATTACACTGTCACTGACATTAATTATTAAACACGTTACTTTCCTGTCAATTAGTTCAGCATATCTTTAAATTATTATTATTATATATTTAAGCTCATTGGCTACAATACAATGGGTTTTGGTTTGAATGCAAATCAAACTGATAGGGTGATATTCTTTCTACCGTGACAACCTACAGTTTGAGTGAAAATCTTCTTATTGTATTGGCTTTTAATACTCTGTGAATAGATTGGATAGTCACAAAATCCAGTTTCAGGGATTACCAGCCCATACACAAACGTTTGCACAATCTCTGTGTAATTGCATCACTAAAATAGATGCTAAACTGTAGGTTGTCATGGTAGAAAGAATTTTTGATTTCCCATTCACATTGTTGAAAGATAAAAGAAAGAAACTGTATCATTTGTTGCAACTTATGCATCAAATATACCACATTTAATTCTTTGGTTTAATGAAATTCCAGAATTATTTTTGTTAATGTATTAGATTAAATATGATGATCTCTCCATCAATCGGTTAGATATAACTTCTCAGTTTTTAAATCATATGCAAGTCCTGGAGCTTCTCAACTACTGCATTACCCAGCAAAAATCAGCTAAATATTCAGTCATTTAAGCAGAAAACTAAACTTTAGTTTAATTGCAATAATTGGTAAATATTCAGTCATTTGATAGAAAACCAAACTTTTAGATTGATATTTATTTTTGATGTGTGATGGAAATTTTTTAATTCTTATATCAGAAATTGTGACCTTGTGTAACATTAGCATCAGGTAGTTCAAATATGGGATGTGCAGTTTTAAGGTTGAAAATAGTTTCCCAAGGGACATGTTGGTGCAGCTACTTTAATGTCCTGAACCAAACATTCTGATACCCGTGTAGTGAGGGTAAAGGGGAGTCACAAGCTCCAAGTAGCTCCATGAGGTTACATGCAGGTTGAAGTAACCTTTTTGATCGACAGAAACCAGGAAGCAGGTTGCCATTATCTCTGGCAGGGATGAGATTTATATAGGGAAACTTAAGTAGACAAGAAATTAGAGAAACTACCCTAAAAAAGTGTCTCAAAATCTTTATTGTAGGAACCCCCAGATAAGAGTGTTCTATTTCTTTTTGCACTGTGTAGTCATCGCAAAGATAAGGTTTAGTGATAAACATTACTGAGAACTATGACTTCTCACCAATTTGCATCATAAAACCTTTTCGCTTCTCTGTGTCACATTTGTAAACTTGATGATTTGAGCAAATGGAAACCATAATACGTAACATCTAGTTTTTGTAAAACTGTATTTTAAGTTATCAAATTAACAAAAAGATACACTATCCATAGATATTGTAGATTATTTTTGTTTAGCTATTGCCTGATACAATGCAAATGTAAAGTAAAATTTAAGTTAAGCAAAGGAGTTAAGATGTTATGGAGGCTTCAGATTTTGTTATTCGGCAAGCACCAAGATCTGTCAGGACTGCACAAAGTGACACGTAAATGTCATGATAAGTGTCCTTTTGTGGTGTTCTACATTTTAGAATAGCCAACTTGAATTATGCATACAAGTTAGGTATAAATGTCATAATGGCAGCTGAATGCTCTGATTTCTTGAAACAAAAACAGAAGTCGCTGGGAAGACTCAGCAGATCAGGCTCTGATTTCTTTGTTGTTCAGTGCTTTCCAGGTCCTTGCAGATTTATAATCTGCTAAATATAAATAATTCTGTGTTAAAAATGCCATGCTCCATGCAAGTGCAATATTTTGCTCATATTAAAATAAGGTATAAATAATACTTATATATAGATATATAGATATGCAAAATGAACTATAAACTGAAATTCTGAAGTTGCGTAATGGAGAAAAAAAACAAGTAAGAAATTGCACTTTAAATAATTTTATGTGTCATTCAGTTGTGCCTATGCTAAAAAAGCAGTGTCTGCTCTGATATGGGATTAAAATTTCTCTGCATTTATTCAGTAAATATTTGTTAGCTGGATCCTAACTATTGTTTTCACTGATTAGTAACTCGTGGAGTCCTGTAGCTCAGTGGTTAGAGCACTTGCTTTGCAAGCAAGAGACCTGAGTTCAATTCCAGGCAGGGCAAAACCTTGGGCAAGTTTCCTTACTCCACACGCCTAATAATAATCCCTCCAAAACCAAAAAAATAATAATAAATTGGTCATTTTCAATCTACGACTGTTTGTGGGACATTGCTGTGCGCAATTGGCTGCTGCATTCGCCCACAAATATACAGTCAATTCACTTTAAGTGTGTTCTGTGAGGCGCTTTGGGATGTCCTCCCGACGTGAAAAGCGCTATATCAAATGCAAGGATTATTATTATTATTATAACTTGACAATTCCCAGTAGGTACATTTTTATTATGTAATTGACGAGGTCTTATAATATTTTAAAAAGAAATTTACATTGTTCCACTATTAACCCTTCTACAGAACCCCTCTACCCCACCCTCCTTCTTCCTCGAAAATTCTAACATTAGTCCAACCCAGAATATTTGAAAAGACAGGAGGAAAGAAAAGTACAATAAAAAATGAGGTCACACCAATTAGCAGCAATAAGGTATTTTGTGATTTTGATGACATGTACAAGACCAGATTTTGGTTTCAAAATTCAGCCAGCTGTTTTCAGTTTGACCATACCTGCAGGCAGTGTCATATTCTGACTATATCTTGACTATCTGTTTAGCCTCTACAGACCCTGTTGAGTCTGCATCTGCCTCATACTGTACCATTTGCAGTCTCAGATAAAACCTTCTATATTCTGAGACTTATAAAATTAACCGCCTCCCCTGCCCAACTCCACCTTCCATCAAATGCCCTGGTGGCGATTTTATATATGCAATTACATGTAGTTCTATTTTAGAGCCCATATTTTGGGGTTATTACAAATGCTGCATTTCAGACATCAAAGGATCAGACAAAATAAACTGAGAAAAAGCACAATTCATTCCAAAATAATTACAATACATAGCTTCTAAAGTGAAGCAAATTCAATTGAGATTTAGGAGAATTCTTCATTTTATTGTCCTTGGAGGAATTTGTTGGCTTCCAGAAATATTTTCAAATGCTTGCGACTGTAGACACTAATTTACTTACACTCTTATTCTATAGTGGAGTTGTCACGAAACAGGCCATTTGGCCCAACTAGTCAGTGCCAGGGTTTATACTGCCCCTACCAATCCCCTCTACTATACCTCACTATTCCCTTCTCCCTCAAATATTTCAATTATATAGATCTAACTGACTCATGTAGATTTTCTGTTCTATTAGGAGACTTCCACTCTCATGCACTCTTTGTACACAGTAAATGATAGGCCTGTAAATAGTCAATAGAAAGTGAATTGCATTCCAATTTCTGTTTATTCATTAGGAAAGTTCCCTGCTATGACTTCTCAAGGTAGCCCAGTCAATTCTGCAAACTTAAAAAAAAGGGAATGAACCTCTCTTATTACATTGCATTACAGCAATTTTGTTGGTAACAAAATATTATACCACTAGAAATTTGTCTTTTTTTCGTTGTGTAGAAATGTCATCTCATGATTCAAATGAACTTCATAATTAGTTAATTATAAATTTCTAGCATGGACACCTAGAACATATTTCAAATTGATGTTATCTGCTTTTCTTATAGTTTAGCTTGTTTCTTTTATAACTCTTATGTACAGAACAATAGCAGTCTGTGCAGTGGCATTTGCCCTTCTTTCATTGCACGACCAATGGCATAACACTGGCACCAAGAAACCAGTCTTGGTGCTTATTCTCACATCTTCAATTGCTTGTCTTCATGGCATATCTGTCTGCTGGCCTTTCTCCAATATTTAAGGAAGATTCATACAGACCATCATTGCACAAACCCTGTGTTTCTGGCTTTGTTACTGTGTGCTGCGACCTCATCCCACCTCCAACCAAACAAAAGACAAGTGACTCACATCACCAGAGGCCAAGTTTAAATTGATATCTCTTGTTCTGCTCCTATGCCAAATAGGCCTTTACTTGAAAGCAGGCTCAGTACCTCATAAGACAACACTACCATATCATATTTTGTAGCACAGTTCATTTTTCCATAAAAATGCAGCAATTGTAGTCCCCAAAACAATGTCTCAACTGTGGAATAAATTCTGTTGGAGAACACCTAAATACTGTACCAAATTATTGAATACAGGTGAATAACTACACTTGTAAATAAATAGCTGGAGTGAGATTGATGGAGATTAATAGAAATAAGCCCTTGTTCTAAAGTAATGGCTACTTAATGAACCCATGGAATAATGCAAAATAAATAGATTTATCTATTAGACATCTAATAATATGCAAATACTATTAGCCTAATTCTCACCCAACCACAACCCAAAAAACAAGACTATCCCTGCTAATGGGTGGTGTTATGTTACTGAAGCTCCATATCTCTCCAGTTCAACTGACTTAGTCACCCAGTTAGTGGTTTTACACTTCACTTAAACTCAAAGCATTCAAACCATATTAGAGAGCCTATTACAGTACAGTATTTTGTTTCCAATAGAAAACTTGCTGGCCTTTTGGAGGCTAGTGAAACATGAACAAAGGACAAAGTATGGGCCAGAGAGCATTACTTCAGATATTGTTAACCTAGTAGTCAGTTTGACCTCAGAATTGATTAAATTGACCCAATTGATACAGACAGATCTGACAGACTAAAGTGTCAAGCAACCCGTAGGCACTTGCACCAGAAATCTTTAGACAGTGAAAAAGCCTACTTTTCATTGTATCACCCGTGGCCCTTAACTATATTGTTTATGCACAATGTCAATGGCATTTTCACATGCTAGAAATCCTAGTGTATTGGTTGTCTTTTTTTCTGTTGTGATGAAGTTTCCTTGTATGGACTGCAAGGCAGAAAAAAGGGGTAGGAAGGGGATAGAATACAGCCTATGTCTTTAGTCAGTGAACA